TTTTTGCTTTCTCTTCTGGCGTCCCGCTCGGGATAATAGGTGGATTAACGACCGGATCGTTAGCTGTCGCATTTGTATCGGGTGCCGAGGCAAGGTAGATATCGCGACCCGGTCCCCAGCGCGTCTCCAGACATGGCGGCAGATGGAAGAGCTCGGACTCGGTCTGCCAGGTACTCTTCGCTGGACATGTCGCTAGTGTTGTGGGGAGAGCAGTTTGCGCCCCGTTCGGGGGTGGCTGGGCGGTCGCATTGGAGAGCGCGCTGTGGTAGAGAGCCAAAAGGATCGAGGCGCGGTATATCCAAAAGGTCGATGAGAGTCCTGTGGTCAACATGCTGTCGATTTTATGATCAGATGCTCGCACGTATAACTCCCTCGGTGAGTTCAAGCTATGAATTTGACCTGCGTGCTATGCGCATTGTGGCTGGGAGTAAAGGAGTCGACACGGGAATTTCTCTAAGTGGTATTTCGCTATACGTGGGGGAGGTTGCGATTAAGCAAACCCTATCTTGGCGACAAGTAGCGGTCTCCAGAAAGAAATGGATCGTCTGGTACAAATGGCAGGTGATAGTGGACCGGTGGCATCTCGGCCACGCGCTGGGCCTGACCGCCTTTCAACTCGGTGAGAGCTTCAGGGCTGCAACGTTCAGGATTCAATATACAACTTAGTTTAGACTACACTACAACTATATACGAATCGTCTATGAATTACAGAGAACCAAATTCTTCGTGGATAATGTTTGATTTTCCCTTTGGACTGTTCCACGAAACTAGTTACAGTATAACACAATCAAGAGAAAACGGCCACGATATTCCACCACGTAGGCAAATCGACTTCACCGCAACTCATTCCACCTTTCTCTGAAGAAACCACGCACGTCAATCGTGTAGTTCGTATGAAAGCCTCTCGCCAGAATTAAATATCCACCAGCGCATTCCGAGCCAGCCTTCTAACCTTTTGTGGTTGTGTATCCGTCGTCTCCGCCAGTGTCCTTGACCCTCGGTCTGATATTGTACAGGAAGAAGAAAAAAACAGTGCGGACGACCAGGGAGGATGATACAATGCACGCGGCAATGCACCGTTGGGGACAGACGGAAATAGACGAAACACCCAATCCGAGAACAAAGAGACATAAGACAGAAAGCGGAAGTTTATTTTATCGTGGGCATTTTTGAACTTTTTTTTCCCAACTGAATCGAAACATGCAAGCAGACATCAAAATGAGGGGAGAGTATAGGGTAAGGGTGAATCAAGTTCGAGTGAATGTCGAGAACCCTAGAAGTGAGTCTCATGCCACCCACCGACAAGATCGAGATCATCGTCAACGCCTCCATCAAGAGGAAGGAAGCTGCTAGAGACATGGCTACGCCAATCCTGCTGTTCGAGCAAATGGCGGCGACGAACCTCCACAGGCGATGCGGGCTTGGACTTGCCCTGGTGGTATCCGGAAGTACCTCGACCCCAATCGTGTCGCCGAGTATTGGCAGCAACACTCTTGGGACCAAACACCTCACGCGACTTGCGGGGCTTACACTTGTGCAGTTCGTCCTCGGGCTTGTACTGGCGTCGGACTTCACCGAGCATGGACCACTTGTCCGCCCTAGACGGCTCGTGTGGGGAGCTCCGCATGGGGCGGGGCGTGCTACTCGACGCACTGGAGTCGCTGTCTTCGTCCAAGGAAAGATCCCCCAATACATGGGGTTCCATCTTCAGATCCACATCTGGGCCGTGAGAGCGATGGTTGGGGGAAGCGGAGGCCGGCTCGCGCAATGTTGGGAGGGCAGCTCCCTGGCTCTCTTGGCTCCAGCTGCGAGAGTTCTGCTCCCGTCGTTGAGCCACAGCAAGATCCTCATTCTCAGACTCTTCTTCGTCCCACATGTCGCACCAACTCTTTGAGATCTTGTCGGCACCTTTGTTACCAAAGACCATCGACAAGGAAGGGAGCGGCTTCGTCGTGTGAGACGGCAGGGATCCAGTGATGGAAACCGGATCAGAGCGAGGAAGAGACGGGCCCGCACGCTTGCGGAGATCATCACGCTTACGAAGATTGAGCAAGACGAAGGATTCACTGAGCTGGGAGTCCAAAACAGAAGCCACTGAAGGAGATTCCATGCGAGACGAGAACCACGAAGTTCCTGCAGCTTCGGAAGCTGGGAACAGATCCTCGGTGTAGCTCTCGGTGTCCGGAATGGCAGAGAGTTGTCGGATAGCCTGGGGAGGGGTCGACTGGAGCGCCTTGGCCCATGGGAAAGCATCTCCCTGGTTGACATATGGGCTCTGGAGAGACGGGGTGCGAAGTGGTTCGCGGTTGGCGCTGGCAGGAACCACCTCGCGGTCTTCGGTGCAAAACTCGTCAAGAGATTCGTCGTCGGTGGTGAATGAGACCGCGCGGAGGATGCTGTCACGCACATCCAGCAAAGACCGCTTGGAGGGATCGATAGTCAAGGCATGAGTCAGAATCTCGTACGTGTCCTGCGACATGTTGGGGAAGATATCGAAAAGCGACTGGCGATCCCGCACATAATCGGCAAAGAGTACATCGGACTCAGTGGGGGTGACGAATGGATTCCGAGCAAACAGAATGTTCAACAGGCAGATACCCACGGACCAGATGTCGGCCTTGGCGGGGGAGTATCCTGTCGTGGTCGGCTCATATTGCTCGGGGGCCATGTAGCGGTCACTGCCAACACACGCCTCGTAACACCACGAGTCTTTCGTAGCGAGACCGAAGTCGCCTAGCTTCATGGAACCGTCCTGTGTCAGGAAGATATTCTCCGGCTTGATGTCACGGTGATACAAGCCATTGGCATGCATGAAGTCGACGGCACTAATTAGCTGCAGCATGAAATCGCGGACGTGCTCGGTCTCCAGTGGACCACGGTTAAGGCGGATGGCCTCGTATAAATCCCCATTGGCACAGTACTCCAAAACAAGATATGTATGAGTGTCGGTGTTGAACGTATGAATCAAGTTGACCAAGTTCGGGTGAAACCCGAATCGTCGGTGACACTCGAGTTCTTCGAAGCCGGAGTTCGTTGAGGCCTTGATGAGACGTTTGATAGCAACATCCTGACCGGTCTTGGTATCTGTAGCCAGGAATACCATTCCAAAAGACCCATGGTTGAGGGGGGCCACGGTTCGGAAACGACCATCCAAAAGTTGGCCTTCAATGAATTCTTCCTTCAAGCACTCCATGGTCGACATGTTGGCCTGATGATCCAAAAAAGGACGAATGCAGAGATGAGATGAAAAGGGGGAGCGGACTGATGTAAGGCTCCAACAAAGAGATGAAGTGAAAACAGGTCTATGAACCGCTCAAAGAACACTTACGCTTGTGAAGAATGCGTCGAAGTGTGATAAACAAAAAGCAACCAGGCTAATGAATATTAAAAGACAAGGAGAAGAGGTATCAGGCTCGGGATCCGAAGGTAAATAGAGGGCGAGAAAAGCCGGGTGTCAGGAGGTTGAGATGAAAGGGAATCCTGACAGGAGATGTCATATAAAGAAATGTACTGGTGAAGTTGATAGACAGATGAAAAGAGGAGAGAATGGAGGCGCAGAGGCGTAGTTGAACCCAGGGGGGTTGTTGATGCTAAGGAAATTGGTAAAGACCGTTATGTGCTCATTTGTATGTCGTTTTTCGTTGGTTAACGGGAAGGGGTCCCAGGTGGACGACACGAATGTGTCAAGAAATGGACAAGTGGTTGGAAAGTCGGCCTGATACCGGATGAAGCGAAGAGAGTCGAGTTAAAGCGCTGCGTAATATCGTAATTGAAAAAGGTCAAAGATGTATAGGGAGAATCCTGTGAACACCGGGTTCAAGGTCGAGGCCGTGACTCAAGTTGAAGAAGATAAATAATTGAGATTAGTGAGTCATGAGGCCAGGTAGTAATGTTGGGGCAAATTGGTTGGGCGAATTGAGGGATCCGGTAGAGTACCCTTCTAATCCGATTCGGAAAAGCAGAGATACTCTATGCCAGGTTGCCCCTGAGGTATGAAACTTCGGAAGTGCTCTCGGACCAGGCTCAACCGAAGAAACGTATGATTGACCACAACGCAGCGGACACCTTCGTGTGGATTGGAGTGACGAAGGCTGGAGGTATCGATAGCACAATTGAATCCGATAGACCGGGATGAGGACACTTTATCAAGTTGAAGGAAGTGAGTCACCCGAGCTCAGGGTGGACCCGGAAGACGGAGGAAAAGGGGTTTAGGACGGAGAAGTCGAGAGTAGTACTCTGTCAAAGGTAGATCTGGATCCGACCTTCGAGGCTTGAAGCTGTATAAGAGTATAATCGTCCGGGGTTGGCAATGTCTTGATATAGATGGCAAGCAGACACGGCAATCTTGGGAACCTTGGGAGCGTTGGAAGTAATAGGAAGGTGACGGAGAAGTGATGCGGGAGAGATGATTCGGACAGGTAGTAAAGGCGGAAGGAGAGATGGGGATCTAGGAGAGCGAAAAGAAGACGATCGGGAACGAGATGTTGATGGTATAAGGGGAGAGAGAGAAGGAGCCAGGGAGAGTTGAGAGGTGTTGTAAAGGCGTGAGGGGAATTGGAGAGGCCATGTGATTGGCTGTACGGTGTAATTCGGTAAGATACCAGTCTCCCCTCGTGGATGGTCCATCCATGCGATCTGCGTTACCCACCGACTTTGGCCGGCACCTGCAGGTCCTGGGGCCGTTTCCGTCTCCCAGGGAAACTGGTCACGTATTGAAATAATACCGGTATTGACAACGGGGGGTCCGTCTAGGCTCTCTAAGTTTCATGAACCTTCCAGGCATTCCTTATCCTTGGAAAGACGTCAAACGTCTACGTGACTTCATTGTCGAATGTTGGAATCGGGGTCTACGATAACGCGATAACGTTTAAATTCCATTGTTGGTTGCCTCTATCACATCATCCAGCCCTATCTTTCAGATTTCAGACTTCCAACTCTCCGGCCTTCAGACTTTCGATCCTAAACTCTCGAGGCTCGGGGTCGGTGACAAGCCAGTCACAATGACGGGCGACATCAGCAGGGGCAGCCCTTTGTCTTGGAGCTCTTGGAGTCTCGTCGGCCGAGGGCGGATCAAGGTGGCGCGCTACTCCCAAAGCGTACAATTGCGCAGCCAATTCTTGGCAGATCAGCCAATCAGAATACATGATCCGGCCACTATTTACAAGCTGCATGACGCGATAGAGTGGGATGGCGTGATCTCCTCTGATTGGACCACCCCGGATACCTACTGCCAGCTCTCTTCCAAGGCCGGTGCCTATGGGAAGTACGAAGGTACCCTTCCGCAGGTACTCATGCACGGCGGGCCTGGTTTCGGAGTGGACCAGGACAAAGACCAGGGTTTGGCTTCTCGATTCTCCCAGTTACACCACTCGCTGCACTATGAACGTTATTCTTTGCCGCGCGGGATATTATGAGACAAGATTCGTCTGACCCATATTATTGACCCCCCGATATAGTTGCGGGGTTCTACGAATACGCTATCTCTAACTATATCAGCGGGTAACAATATCGATGATCATCAGAGTTGAGGGAGTATGGAGTATGTTGGATCGGACCCAGTTATTGATGTGTCTGTCTCGAGTAGTAAATGGGGGGTTGGAGAACATCTCAACCCAAGAACTACTCCGTACAAAGTACAAGACACGTATGTTATACTTCGTGTGGAGCGTGCTCCCAACTGTCATGATTCCCAACCACCTTTCAGACACCCACGCAGCCCTGTCAAGCGGTGAAGGGAATGCCTTCGCTGCCAGGTGGTCTGGCCTTGGATCAGGTTTGACCGCTTCCTGCGGCCTGCAAGGTTTGGCCTTGCAGGTCTCGAGGTGATAGGTACGATGTACGGAATATGCCTTTGATTCAAAGCATGCTCAGAAGTACCAGTACGTGGACGCTTGAAACGATAGAGTTGTGTGGCTATGTGGCACGACTTCGGTTTCCGGCAACTCCTGTGCATCACGCGACGTCCCATCCATTTTGCGTCTCATCACCCCATTTGATTCATTCTCGGAGATCGCAACCCTCCCAATTGAATTCCTGGGCTGTGCATCGGATATGGACATAACCAGCTCGTTTCGGTACATTATCTACGAATGCATTGATTGTACCTAGCATATTACATCGCTCCGATATAGTGTACACAAGATATCACTTTGAATCCATTGCAGTGAGATCTGCAGGAAGTAAAGTGCACGGCTCAGTATCTGGTCCTGATCTCCCCTCCATCAGACATCAGCCATTGCCGTTGGGTCCGTGATTACATTCTCGTTCTCTGTTATGCAGTCTCTCGCTGAGTATAACATGTATCTCTCGCTGAGTATAACATGTACGTCAATAACGTCCGTACACGATCTGCTGCATAAGTACATATAAAACCCTCCCTAAGCATTCGTCATCTACGGAGTGTTGCATCAAAAGAAATCGATCAGCCTATGACAGTCGACCCCAACGATAAATGATATACAACCGCCCTATCAGCCCCTAGCGATGAATTGAAACGTGTCTCTTACACTAAATACTTGGGCGCTTGCATGGTTTTAGCCACGTACATGACTGCTCCATATTAACTACCATGATACCGAGGGGCTGGAGTTATCTTCCGAATGTGGTATTTTTGATATGAGATGTGATATGAGATACGGGTTAGTTACCTATCAGTTCGAAGGTTCTACAACTTACGGAGTAGACTCCCGGCGTTGGGGGAAGTATCCTCCGATAGGGACGATAAGAGTCCCCAGACCCGAGGCAGAAGAGACAACCTTGGGCGTAAACAAATAAATAGGATATCTACGGTTTGAATGAATCATCATTATCAGAGACGACGGTATCACTATCATACCCCGCACGATCGTCATTCCATGATCATATCCAGGCGAGTTGAGAATTTTGAATCCGTCTCAGTCGGTATTTGAAGGGGTCATGATAGTCGTGCTATGGGAGGCCAATGATGGGTTGGTAAACAATGTTGGATAGTATACAGAGTAGGATACATGCATACTTCTTAGCCAGTGTACAACATATATTTAATCTAATGATGAGATCACCCTTATCATGAGAAATGACATGCCAAGCCAAAAGAGGGGGTCAGATAGCCGAACAGACTGGGAGCCACTTCCCCGGATTTTAGTTTCAGCTAGTTTTCCTCAATCGGACTAACCTATATTATACCAAATATGTAGAACCCTGTACTTGCATGCCGAGCTATTCCTTGACCTTCTATATACACGAGCTGAAGCCAATACCAGAACTTTATTATATTCTAAATATTTAAGTCCGAGTGCGAGCTCAATGTGACTTGAGACTAGGATATCTTAAAGGACCCGGCACAGTGCATATGGCCTGTGCGACTACGGAGTACAGAGTTCTACATGTAAATCTCCAGGGCATCAACATGCATCAACATGCGTCTGCATTGCACGATGTCCTCCGTCCATCGTAGGGCGATCCCAGCCTCCTGTAGGTCTCTTTTTCTCCGTGTGCGACTGTGCGTTGCTGCAGGAAAGAAAGCAGATATTGGAATTTTCAAGATCGATGCAAGGGTCCTTATTCCCTGAGGCTTTTTTTTTCGGACGCATCATGTGAGAGAAGTTTCCTGTTCATGCTTGACAGATTGAGTTTCTTCGTACGTTGCCGAGTCAACACGGGCATGTTGTGTCCCCTCCATTTTCGCCTTACAGGTCGAGTCAGTCGCCTTCTCTGCGGGGGAAATGTGTCGGCGAATTGGCTACTAGATGTGCAGTATATTGCATATTGGCTTTCTACGGCTCCGTTGTTGTAGTTCATCCACCCTACGTTGTTCCTTGTATGCTCTGTTCGGATATCCCATTATATAACATTGTAGCTATCAGGGTGTACCATATTCAATGCTGATATACTCCATACCCAAATATCCCGTTAATATAGATTCGGTGTTTACTATTAATACGGTGGCAACATATAGTACAAAGTATAGGAGGTCCAAAACAAAACACCGTCCTCGGCCTCCTGACCCCATGCCACATTCCATAAGGGTCCTGTCAACGTCATTCCACCCTGACATCCCCCTTTCCGTTCCAGGTGGATCATTGTTACACTTGAGTTAATAACTCCCAAATACAGAGTGTAATAAAAAAGACCTCATAATTGAGTGACGTTGAGAGACCCATTATTATTTGAAACGAAAAATGAGTAATAGGGTGGAGACCAGGCAGCGCCAAATGGACCTCTGAGGGCCATTTATTGCTTCTATTTACAGATTATGGAGTACTTCGGATGGTATTGGGACTCATTGAGCTCCGCTTGCATCTAGACTCTGTGTTCATCTGGTCATGGCGATGCGTGTTGAACTTCGAGTCTGTGGCGAGTGGAATCGGTGGGAGCGTACTCCGTACAATGGTCGTGTTGGGAATCGGCAACGGATTCGCAATCTGTCTCTTGGAGTCGGGTCTAGTTGAACTGTGAATATGTATTAGCCGGATAACGGATGTACGGAGTACGAGGTACATCCTCAGGTGTTGACATGATGTTGACATTATGTGGATCTGATTGTACACTTGGCCACGTAGGCGGATCACATAAGTTGATTGTCTGTCTTCGAAGGCGAATTTACGTTTGTTATCTTATTCGGTTCCTATAGTTAAAGCAATTGTCTATTCTATTTGTTCCTGTACCTATGCCGAGACCGAAGACCCTGGTTGTTTATATATTTACTCGGTACCTGGAGGATCTACATTGTACGATATGTCTTTGATAACCACCTCATCTCTTCAACATAGAATCTGCTACCAAAACATATCTATAGATCAAAATCTTATACATCCTAGCACACATACATCGTAGTTTGATTTATATCACCCATTGAAGTCGCGACGGAGGCGATGATTCATAGCAGGATGGCCTCTGATTGGCCGAGAACCTCCAGGGTTCCGCGATAAAAAAACCGACTGTCTCAATATCAAACCCCCAGGATGTCGCGAGAAAGGTCCATTCTCGATGATGCAAAATGAGCAAGCGCTCGCTCGAGGAGTCCAGGGCAGGTGCGCATATGTCGCCCGATTCCGACAATAATGGCTTGCTGCCCATCCAGGACCTGCTCTCTCCTGGCGAGGAGGAGCACGGTCAATCCTCCGGACCCTCCAAGAAACCTAGGAACTTCATTGCGACTGTCGTAAGTGCCCATTTTGCCTCGCCTATTTTTTCCGCGACGCGACCGAGTCATCCGGTGCCCGCTAATCCCAGGTAATAGGCGTGTGAGACTTGTCGCTTGAAAAAGACCAGATGCGATGAATCGCGGCCGAGGTGTGGACTATGTAAGTCGCTTGGCCTAGAGTGTGTTTATAATGAGCGTAAATCTTCAAAGTAAGTTATCCTCAGTGATTTTTATTTCATGCGCTTATACGATGCAGACGCGATCAATCTCTCACGATGATCATGAGCACTCTCCATCGACTGGAGACAAAATTGGAAAACATCCCAACGTCTATTTTGGGTGATCTACAGTCTCTTCGGAGCCAAATTCGGCCTGCCCGAGAGCCGCAGACGCAGCTATCGCCTGCCTTTGGTGGTGACAACCAGCCCCTATCAATGCTGTCCTCCATCGGGGACAACTTCACACCCGCGGCAGGGGATGGAGATGACTTTGAATTCGAAGAGAATCAACCAAAGTCAGACTCTGCAGGCCGGATCTCTATCTCTTTCAGTCAGCATGGTGTCATCGTGTGGCCTGGAGCAAGACAGATCCTCCCGAAGCAATTACTCGCCGCCTATGAGATGCTCGGGAAAAACTATGTCATTGAACTGGAATCAGCACGGCCTCCGCTGCCGATGTTTACCAGTCCGTATCCGTTACAAGCGGGAGATCACTGGCTAGAAATACTTCCGTTGGCAATGATCAGGGGTCTGGCGGATGCGTTCTTCAGTGTTTTTAATCCCTCTACGCCGATTATGGACAAGGGGTTCTTCTTTTCCTTCACTCTTGGCACAGCCATCGAGAGTGGCTTTGGATATAATCTAGAGAGTTGTCTAGTGCTTAATGTGCTAGCATTGGGTTGTCTCGCGGTTCTCGCCTACCAGGAAGGAAACTACCCTTTGCCAGGTACTCAGGCCCATCGATTTGAACCTCCAGAATGGATGAACGTGGTTTACGAAGAGCAGCCTGGACTGCGGTTCTTTAATGAGGCTCGGCGACGTATCGGCTTCTTGATGTGCGACAACGATATCCAGAGTTGTCAATTCTACCTTCTTTCATCGTACGTATCCATGCCCAAGCTTACTGCTATATACAGATTGATACTCATCTTCTATAGTGTATATTATAACCAGATTCCTCGTCCGATGGATTCCTGGACAATGGTTTCTCGCGCTGCTACTTGCTGTCTATCAATGTTGATAAAGTGAGTCCTGCCCTATACATTTCAAACCTAGTACGATACTGACTGTT